AGATGTTAAGGAGGTAGGATATAGAGCATATACAGTTATTAGATCTTAGGAAGCATGAAAGAGGAATCTAAAAATGTTGACTATTAGCAGGTTAAAAGAAAGAACGTGATTTTGGGGAAACAAGTAAGTGGGGGAGACAATAGAGAAAGTAAACAAACATAAAAATTAAGAAAAATAAAAAATGCTAAAATAATATGCAACACAACTGTAATATACTATTCAGGCATCCAAGTCCTTGGTATCCTAATTCATGAAAAGTAATTGGTTTCACAAATGTTGGGGATGTGAGGGTGAGAGATGAGATAGAGAAAAGAAAGAAAGAAAAAAGAGGAAAGAAACAAAACATTTCAAAGGAAAATACAAGGTTTGTTTTTGTTGGAATTCAGTTTTTTTCCTGCTTCCCTTTTCATCCAATAGGCGAGGTTTTCTGTTGTTTGCTGGTATTTTCACTCTCAGGATGGTTAGATTATTAGGGTAGCAGGGTTGGTCTTGGGGACAGAGCTCTTGCAGGTGGGGTATAGCACTTGCTGGTCCCCAGTGGGAGACTGCACCCCAAGGATCTCCTTTGGGGCCTGCTGGTGTGATGTGGGTACCTGGTCTTCTTATCTCCTTGTATCTCCTGTAGACCTCAAATTCCTGGTCTCTAATTTAGTCTCTAAACTGTATATCCCTCACCCCCTCCCTTTCTACCTCCCATTCCAGAACCTTCTCTCTGGAGGTCTTTTGGGCTACTCTCTGGGGGTTGCACACTGTTATGGAGAGCTCTTTTGTATTGGGCAATTCAGGGCCAGGCTTTGTGAGCTGCAGTGGGCTGTGTAGCCACAAGCACTGTGCCCGGTTATTGATTGCTGGGGAGAGGAGAAAGTTGGGGACTATAGGTACCTTGATAATGCTTCTAAGCCCCTGTCAGTGTTCCTAGCTGGAAGTTGCCCCAAATAAAGATGGAGACAAAGGTGTCCCAAGATGTAGGCAGCTGCTTTTAGCAATGGGGTGTCAGGTTGGGTCAGGTCGGGTGGTGATGTAGCTCTGTGGTGTGCAGTGTTGGCTGCCTCCAGACCCTGTCCAGTATCCCCAGGTACAGACTACTACGTGTAGGGAAGTATGGTATTGGTTGCAGTATCCCAAGATGGAGGCGACCAGGAGAGCCCCAGGTTGGTTGATGGGGCTCCACACTGGAGTTGTGGTGGGAAGTCCTGTGTGGGAGCTACTGTAGAATTCCTGTTTGGGTTTATAGCCAGGGGTCCTGCACTGACATTGAGTCCTGTGGACCTGTGCGGGCAGTAGCTGTCGGGTCCTCTAATAACTTGTAGAGAAATAGTATTCCTACTGCTTGAATCCTAGGTCACAGAGCAACAAAGAATGCAGACTCCCTGTAGCCCTTCCAGTTATTTATTTATTTATTTATTTATTTATTTATTTATTTATTTATTTATTTATTTATTTTTTATGAGACAGGGTCTTGTTAGGTCACTGAGACTGGAGTTGAACTTGCAATCCTCTGCCTGAGCCTCCTGAGTCACTGGGAGTAAAGGCGAGCATCATCATGTCTGGCTTCATTTTTCCTATTGATTGTCTGTGTTTTGGTTGTTAATTTTCTCCTTTATTGTTATTTTCTCCTTTCTTTTACTTATCTTCGATAGTAATGATAGGAATACAGACATAGATAAGTGGTTCAGAATATAAAGTCCTAAAATTGACCATAGACAGGTCAATTGATTTGTGAGAATGATGCTGAAGCAACTCAAGGAAAAAGAATAGTCTTGTCAATAAGCAGTATAAGTAGGTCTCAACATTGGAAAACATGAATCTAAACTTTCACCCCACACTACAAGCAAAACAAAATTAAAACCAAAAACCTTCAAAATGGATAATTTGAAATGTAACAACCAAAACTGTAAAACTAATAGAAGAAATAATAGGAGAAAATATAATATATATTATAATAAATAATTATGTTTATATATTATATAATTATAATCTGGAGAGTAGTCAGAGTTCTTATTGGACATAAAAGAGCATGAATACTAAGAGAAACCTCATACATTGAACTTCATTAAAATGTAAAACTTCTTTTAAAGATGCATTAAGAATACACCAATGAGGGGCTGGGGTTGTGGCTCAGCGGCAGAGCGCTTGCCTAACACATGCAGGGCCCTGGGTTTGATCCTCAGCACCACATATAAATAAATAGATAGATAGGTATGTAGATAGATAGATAGATAGATAAAGGTGTTTTGTCCAACTACAATTGAAAAGTAAATATTTTTTTAAAAAATACAACAATGAAAAGTAATCTGTAGTCTCAAAAAGTATTTGTGAAATTTCATCTGAAAATGACTTGTATCTACAGTATAACAAGAACTATTACAAGTTTATATCAAGTAATCTAATTTTCTTTTTTTAAAAAATATTTTATTGTTGATGGATCTTTATCATATGTATGTGTGTATGTATGTATGTATGTATGTATTTATTTATTTATATGCAGTGCTGAGGATTGAACCCAGTGCCTCACACATGCTGGGCAAGCGCTCTACCACTGAGCCACAACCCCAGCCTTTCTAATTTTCAAAATAAGCAAAATACTTGAACAAACACTTCACAAAAAGATGATGAGTAGTAACAATGAAACATCAGTCACCAATGAAATGTGAATTAAATCACAATAAGCTAATATTTCACAGCTATTAACATGCCTAAAATTTTAAAAACCAAGTACATTAAATGTTGTATAAGCTTTAAAGCAACTGAAATTCTTGTATGTTATTGGGCATATGAAATGACACATCTCTTTAGAAAACAGTTCTGTGGCGCTGGGGCTGTAGCTCAATGGTAGAGCGCTTGCCTAGCATGCGTAAGGTACTTTGTTCGATTCTCAGTACCATATATAAATAAATGAACAAAATAAAATCCCATCAATGTTTAAAAAAAATTTAAAAAAACAGTTCTGTATTTTCTTATAAATGTAAACCTACATTTTCCATAAGATGCCATGATACTGTGCCTAACACCCATACATAAATACTCACCTCATAATTTCACCCATGAAAATATATATCCACACAAAAAATTTTGTAAGAATATCTTTAAGAGCTTTTTTCCACAGTAGCTTCAAACTGGAAGCTCCTCAGAGGCGATCAGTAATAAATAGTTAAATATATTGTGCTGTACTATTCAGCAGAAGTTCACTGGATTAAACAAAGGGGAATAGGAAAGACAGTACACTGAATCAGAAATAACTTTCCTATGTTTTCACACAACCAATGAAACTCCACATCATGTACAACCACAGGAATAGGATCCCAATTAGAATAATTTATAGTCCATGTGTGTATAATATGACAAAATATACTCTAATGTCATATATATCTAAAAAGAACAAATAATAAAAATTTAAAAATATATTAAATGGGCCTGGGGGTGGGGAGTAAAGAACTACTGAAGCATGGAATACCATGAATGACTCATGAAAACATATTGAGTGAAAGAATTTAAACATGAGTCTATCCTGTATGATTCCATTAATGTAAAACTCTATAAAAAATAAAATCTAATTTATAATGACAAAAGCAGATAAGTGGTAGCCTGAGGCTGGAGATTGTAGGTGAGAAGGAGATTAACAAAGAGTATTTACAGTATTAGTAATGCTTCTTGACTGTGGTTGTAGTTATGCAGGTGTAGAAATTTAGCCAATTTTACTCTTATCATGCAAATTATGGTTTAGTCAAAGGGGTCTCTTTTCTAGTGGTTATCAAATCTGGCTATACTTTAGAATCATGTACATACTGAGCTTTAAAAATGCACATTTCTCCACTTTAGACCCAAGGAATCAGTGTCCAGCTGTAGGCCTTCTCATGAGTTTTTGAAAAGTTTCAGAGATTATTTTTATTTTCAGCTGGAGTTCAGAAATATTTTTTGATTGTATGACTTTTCATTCTTATGATTCTCAACCTAAAATCCCAGAGCCTGCTATGTACCAGCCATCATACTTGGTTTTGAGAATGATGAGCAAGAGAGACATGCTCTTTTACAATGTGTAGTCTGGTGGGAGGATGGACATTGATTAAATAATAACAAAAATATGTATCTTTAAACCTTAGCAGATGTTGTAGATATCATATATAGAATGTTATGATAGTGCATGGTAAAAATTAAAGTGTTTTTTCTGATCTTACTTCAGAGCCATACTTGAAAAAGTGCTTTTCTGAAAGCACTTAGTATTGCTTACATAGTATGATTATTCATTTGTATAAAATATTTTGCATGCAAACATCTCTTCACCAAAGTATTTTTCTCTCTCATTATTTGTCAGCATCTTGTATTATCTTAAAACATTAAGAAATCTTTAATATTTAACTTTAGGGACAAAACATTGAAATGTCATCAATAAATATCTATAAGTATCTAAGTCAGTCTGTGATTATCATTCAGCTATGTGCTATCCAACATTTTGTTACTGAAACAAAAACAACCATTTGAATATGACAGTTTGTTCTACTAGTATTGTTTTGGTTGTAGTGGAAGAGTTGTTAATGTTGGTCAAACACAATTGTTTTCTCAAATATATTACACATAATACTAATTGTGTTTAATAATGGGGAGTATTGGGATGGAAATTTTGAACTCATGCAAGTTTAGGAAATGGAGGGTAAAATAAATTTAATAAAGTTAAAGAACCTTTAATATGTCACATTTGAAATCTTTAACATGACTCTCTTTGGCCATGGAACCCCTTTTCTCTTGGCTTGTATTTTCATGAATACATACCTAAGCAGCTAAAAAAATCTACAATAGCGTTTAACAAGTTATAATGGCATATTTAAAAATTACACAATAATATTTATGTAAAAGCCTCTTAGACATGGTACTAGATCTGTATTTTGTATTTATATATTGAACTTTTGGAAATGAGTTTACACATATTAAAAAAAATCAGTTCTTCATTCTTGCATCCTTAACTAATAGAGAAAAGTGAAATTTATGTTTCTCTTCTATTTTAGAACAAAGTAGAAGAGATGATTTAGAAGCTTTAGGTCATATGTTCATGTATTTTCTGAGAGGCAGTCTTCCTTGGCAAGGCTTAAAGGTAATTGTTTTTATATTTCCTTATTGAATTTTATAAAATATTAATATATATATATATATTAAGTCCTGTTTTTCTAACCTAATAATTTGAAAATTACAACATTCTTAAGATTTTTTTTCCATTTTAGGCTGACACATTAAAAGAGAGATATCAGAAAATTGGAGATACAAAACGAGCTACACCAATAGAAGTGTTATGTGAAAATTTTCCAGGTAATAAATAATGCTAATTGATAAATGTGTTTCTACACAGAAAACCATAAGTGATTCATTTTGGCTGCTAAAGTTTATAGATAAATTTTTTTCATGCCTTGAAAAAGGTGAGCAATTTGTGATTTAAAAGTTGTCAACAATTGATGCATGGGCCACAGGGACAGTTTGTGTATTTGCTTTTGCAAGATGATATTAACAGAAGAAAATTTCCTTGATTAATAATATTAACGAATACCAGCTGAAGTAGTATTTTTTAGTGGCATACTTTTATTAAGTTAAAAATACTTGCTAAGCAATGCTAAAGTTTTAAGTGTAAAGTTTTAGTGTACAGTGTTAGTCGCATAGTTCTCAGTGTCAGGTTCAAAATTTTAATTTCAAAGTAGTACTTGATTTAGTTTTCAAAGTACAGTAAAATCTTACTGACTTTACTAGCTTTAGGCTAATTTTATATTGGAGAGCTGTATACATTTATGCAAGTACTGTTTTTCCTGGTAGATTTATGGCAACTCTAATTAAACTAACAAAAATTTAAAGTTTCTAAATCAGTTGAGAAATAAGAATAATTTATTAATAATGTACTGAAATACCTACTGTGATTTGTGCAGCAATATTAAGTGAAAAGAACTGAATTTGAAGATACAAGAACTGAGTTCCTGTCTCACTCCAATATTAACTGGTTCTCCCCTACAATGCTGGGATTATTATTGTGGTGATAATTTCAATATAATTTGAGCCTTTTTAAAAGCATGCTTATTATTCATTGTCAGCAAACTTCAATTATGTTTTTTCTTTCTTGCTGTAACCTATAGAAATGGAAAATTAAGTAAACATTGGTTGGTGCAATTTAGGTGTAGGCAGATTGGCTGACTGTCTTTATAAAATTCAGAATGGAAAATGGAGGCAATTAAGTAATTTAGCTAAGTGATTAGCCAGAAAGTGGAATAGTGAGAGTCACTGTGTGATGAAGGTCACCTGGCACCACTATTGTTGCCTGTTGGGCTGGGATGTGTAGCATTCTTTTACTGACTGCCTGTGAATTGTAGCAGAAAAGCAACTAGGTCTCCATGTCAGAGGTAGGAGAAAATTGATATCCCATCGTCTCTATAGTCATTTTCTGTACTCTTGAGGGGTGATACTAATTTTTACTATTTACTCACTATTTTGCCTGTTGCTTTGTATGTCTTCCTTCTCACTTCTTTTCCTCCTGGAAAATATGACCTTTAAAAAAATGTGTACCTAATACATTTGGGATTTATATTGACATGCTGAGATTTGTATATAATTGAATAATAGTGCTCATCTGACCAGAAATTAAGTGAAGACTTATACTCTGCTCTTGTGTTTTATATTTGAGGTGGTTTTTTAGCCTTTTTAGCTCAGTTGGTTAAAATACCACTCATAGCCAAGGTTAGGAATTTGAATCCCCTATTGGTCAATTTGTGTATGTTACTGATTCTAAAGGAAATCCAGCAATCTGGTGCAAATGCTTTCATATAAGTAAGTTCCCACCAATGTTTAAAATAAATGTTTAAATTGATGCTAAGTATGATGCTATATAAAGATTAAGTAATTATGCATTATTAAGCTGCTAATTTAGCATCTATGGCTCAAGATTTCTATTAAAAATATTATAAAGTAGAACATTTATCTTTGCTAATAAAATGAAGCAAAAATAGTGGTTAAACTTCTCACTTATCTTTTGTCCTTATTTCCTTTCTTCTTCTCTCTTTTTTATTTTGTTGTCATCAAACTCAGAAAATTTTAAATTGAAATATAATTTGCTACATTTTTTCATGTTTTTACAATACAGTGTGCTTTTAGACATTTAAAAGAATCTTATTGTTGAATGTTTTATAAAAATGTAGTCAGAATGTTTTTTTCTTTTCTAGAAGAAATGGCAACATATCTTCGTTATGTAAGAAGGTTAGATTTTTTTGAAAAGCCAGATTATGACTACCTAAGAAAGCTTTTTACTGACTTATTTGATCGAAAAGGATATATGTTTGATTATGAATATGACTGGATTGGTAAACAGTTGGTGAGTATGGTATATAGTAAAACATTATTTATAGTATTTATTTTCTTTTTAACAGCAGTACGGGATCCTTCAGTTTAGAAGAGTTCAGAAAAAGTAATTTTTAAAGAGGATTCATTTTGTTTCCCATTTTGGGACATTTCTTAGGTGACGTTATGTTATTCCTTACATTTTGTGAAAGTCCTATGTTTGGACTACCTGCTTTTTCGAGCAATGAGTTATTTTTGACTTTTCATCCTGATTTGGTTCTTAATATTAAGTCTGGTTTTTTTTGTGTTTTTTTTTTTAACAGTACCAGGGATTGAATCCAGAGGTACTTTACCACTGAGCTATATATCCCAAGCCTTTTTAATTTTTTGAGTCAGCGTCTGGCTTAGCTGCTCAGGCAGGCTTTGAACATGCCAAGGCTGGCCTCAAATTTGTGATCCTCCTGCCTTAGCCTCCTGAGTTGGTGGAATTATAGGCGTGTGTCACTGCCCCAGATTCAGATATACTTTTTTGTATAATATATTTTCATGATTAGCTTACTGTGTAATACATTGAAATTTGAGGGCTTTTGAAAAATTTCAAACATTGAAAATAAGTGATTTTGTTAGTTTTATTTAAAAAAATTATTCCTTTAATTTTATTAAAATAATTTATTCTGTTTATGCATTAAAATAAATTTTCATTTTTGTTAAAAAACTAACCTAAAAGTTATGACATCATTATAAGTACTTTTTAAAAAAAAGATATGTTTATTTAGTTGTAGATAAACAGAATACCTTTATTTTATTTATTTATTTTTATGTGATACTGAGGATTGAACCAGTGCCTTACACATGCTAGGCAAGCACTCTGAGCTACATGCAAGCAACTGAGCTACAACCTCAACCCCTTGAAGATCTTTTGTGGATATAAAAATTAATATTTTAATATAAAATATATTTATATTTAGTGTAATATATTATATATAAATTAATATTTTTAAAATATTTATTTTTTATATTTTAGGTGGACACAGTATCTTTATTTTATTTTTATGTGATGCTGAGGATCGAACCCAGTGCCTCACACATGCCAGACGAGCACGCTACTACTTGAGCCATATCCCCAGCCCCCCAAAATTAATATTTTAAGAAGCATTTATTTTATTTTTTTTAGTTGTAGAAGAACATGAATACCTATATTTTATTTATTTTTGTGTGGCACTGAGGATTGAACTCAGTGCTTCACACATGCTTGGCAAGTGCTTTACCACTGAGCCACAACCCCAGCTCTGCATTTAAATATTTAAAAAAAATTTTAAATAGTACTTATGTTCCCTTTTATTTTTTTTTTTGATCCTTTTAAGTGGCTAAAGAAACGATTTTAAAAGAGATTTCTAAAGTAGTCTATATCAATACCATTTGTTATTATTGTTGTAGCCTACTCCAGTGGGAGCAGTTCAGCAAGATCCTGCTCTATCATCAAACAGAGAAGCACATCAACACAGAGATAAGATGCAACAATCCAAAAATCAGGTTTGATGCCCTTTTTAGTTATACTTATCTTAATTTGTTTCAACATTGAAATGCATACTTTTTGTCCAATAGATAAAATGTTATACATATAAACATTGAAGGTTGATAAATTATTTCTCCTAGTTTTCAGTATTAATTTAATAATAATATTAAAATTCTTAATTGTAAATTCCTGATTAATGGTATAAATTTAATATAGTTTTGAGCCATATTTGATACTCTATTAGTATAGAAATTTTTGATATCTTATGGGAATGGATTATAATACCATTTGATCTTTCTAACTGTAGTTTAGTTCAATAAATTATTCACTGAGTTTCTGCTGTTTAAAGCATTTTTTCCTTATTTTTTTAAATTAATTTTTTAAATTTATATATGACAGTGGAATGCATTACAATTCTTATTACACATACACAGCACAATTTTTCATATCTCTGGTTATATACAAAGTATATTCCCACCAATTTGTGTCTTCATACATGTACTTTGGATAATAATGATCATCACATTCCACCATCATTTCTAACCTCATGCCCAATCCCTTCCCCTGCAACCCCTCTGCCCTATCTAGAGTTTGTCTATTCCTCCCATGCTCCATCTCCCTACCCCACTATGAATCAGCCTGCTTATATCAGAGAAAACATTTGGTATTTGGTTTTTTGGGATTGGCTAACTTCACTTAGCAGTATCTTCTCTAACTCCATCCATTTACCTGCAAATGCCATGGTTTTATTCTCTTTTGTTACTGAGTAATATTCCATTGTTGTATGTATGCCACATTTTTTAATCCATTCATTTATTGAAGGGCATCTAGGTTGGTTCCACAGTTTAGCTATTGTGAATTGTGTTGCTATAAACATTGATGTGGCTGTGTCCCTGTAGTATGCTGTTTTTAAGTCCTTTGGGTATAGACCGAGGAGAGGGATAGCTGGGTCAAATGGTGGTTCCATTCCCAATTTTCCAAGAAATCTCCATACTGCTTTCCATATTGGCTGCACCAATTTGCAGTCCCACCAGCAGTGTATGAGTATACCTTTTCCCCCACATCCTCACCAACACTTATTGTTGTTTGTCTTCATAAGAGCTGCCATTCTGAATGAAATAAGATGAAATCTTAGAGTGGTTTTGATTTGCATTTCTCTAATTGCTAGTGATGATGAACATTTTTTCATATATTTGTTGATTGATTGTATATCCTCTTCTGAGAAGTGTCTGTTCAGGTCCTTGGCCCGTTGTTGATTGGGTTATTTGTTTTTTTGGTGTTTAACTTTTTGAGTTCTTTATATACTCTAGAGATTAGTCTCTATTTATCTGATGTGTGAGGGGTAGAGATTGGCTCCCAAGATGTAAGCTCTCTCTTCACCTCCCAGATTGTTTCTTTTGCTGAGAAGAAACTTTTTAGTTTGAGTCCATCCCACTTATTTATTTATTGTTTAATATTTATTTTTAAATTTCAGATGGACACAATATCTTTATTTATTTTTTTAAATTTTTATGTGGTGCTGAGGATCAAACCCAGTGCATCATGCATGCCAGGCGAGCACTCTACTGCTGAGCCACAACCCCAGCCCCATCCCATTTATTGATTCTTGATTTTAATTCTTATGCCAAAGGAGTCTTATTAAGGAAGTTGGGGCCTAATCCCCCATGATGGAGATTAGGGCCTGCTTTTTATCCTATTAGACACAGGGTCTCTGGTTTTATTCCTAAGTCCTTGATCTATTTTGAGTTGAGTTTTGTGCCTGGAGAGAGATATGGGTTTAATTTCATTTTGTTCAGTTTTCCCAGCACTATTTGTTGAAGAGACTATCTTTTTTCCAATGCATGTTTTTGGCACCTTAGTCTAATATAAGATAATTGTAATTTTGTGGGTTAGTCTCTGTGTCCTCTATTCTGTACCATTGGTCTACCAGTCTGTTTTGGTGCCAATACCATGCTGTTTTTGTTACTATTGCTCTGTAATATAGGTCTGGTATAGTGATGCCACGTGCTTCACTCTTCCTGCTAAGGATTGCTTTAGCTATTCTGGATATCTTGTTTTTTCAGATGAATTTCATGATTGCTTTTTCCATTTCTATGAAGAATGTCATTGATTTTGATAGAATTGTATTAAATCTGTGTAGTGCTTTTGGAAGTATGGTCATTTGATAATATTAATTCTGCCTATCCAAGAGCAAGGTAGATCTTTTCATCTTCTGAGGTCTTCTTTGACTCTTTAGGGTTCTGTAATATTTATTATATAGATCTTTCACCTCTTTCATTAAGTTGATTCCCAAGTATTTTTTTTTTTTTTTGAGGCTATTGTAAATGGAGTAGTTTTTCTTGTTTCCCTTTCTGAGGATTTGTCACTGATATACAGAAATGCCTTTGATTTATGGGTGTTGATTTTTTTTTTTGAGATTTTTTTTTTAATATTTATTTTTTAGTTTTCGGCGGACACAACATCTTTGTTTATATGTGGTGCTGAGGATCGAACCCAGGCCGCACGCATGCCAGGCGAGCGCGCTACCGCTTGAACCACATCCTCAGCCCTGGGTGTTGATTTTATATCCTGGTACTTTGCTGAATTCATTTACTAGTTCTAGAAGTTTTCTGGTGGAACTTTTAGGGTCTTCTAGGTATAGAATCACATCATCAGCAAATAGTGCTAATTTGAGTTTTTTTCCTGTGTGTATCCCTTTTTCTTTTGTCTGTCTAATTCCTCTGGCCAGTGTTTCAAGAACTATGTTAAATAGAAGTGGTGATAGAGGGCATCCCTATCTTGTTCTAGTTTTTAGAGGGACTGCCAACATCAACCAGGCCATGATGTTGGCATGGGGCTTAGCATAGATATCCTTTATGATGTTGAGATATGTTTCTGTTATCCCTAGTTTTTCTAGTGTTTTGAACATAAAGGGGTGCTGTATTTTGTCAAGTGCTTTTTCTGCATCTATTGGGATTATCATATGATTCTTATCTTTAAGTCTGTTGATATGATGAATTACATTTACTGATTTCCATATGTTGAACCAACCTTGCATCTCTGGGATGAATCCCACTTGATCCTAGTGCTCAATCTTTTTGATATGTTTTTGTATACGATTTGCCAGAATTTGAGAATTTTTTATCTATGTTCATTAGAGATATTGGTCTGAAGTTTTCTTTTCTTTTCTTTTTTTTTTTGATGTGTCTTTGCCTGGTTTTGGAATAGAGTGATATTGGCCTCATAGAATGAGTTTAGAAATGCTGCCTCTTTTTCTATTTCCTGAAATAAATTGGAGAGTATTGGTATTAGTTTTTCTTTAAAGCTCTTGTAGAATTCGGCTGTGTATCTGTCTGGTCCTGGACTTTACTTGGTTGGTAGACTTTTGATGGCATCTGCTATTTCGTTACTTGAAATTGATCTGTTTAACTTGTGTGTATCATCCTGATTCAATTTGAGCAAATTATATGACTCTAGAAAATTTGTTGATGCCTTTGACATTTTCTATTTTATTGGAGTAAAAGTTTTCAAAATAATTTCTAGTTATCTTCTGTATTTCTATAGTTATCTTCTGTATTGCTGTGATATTTCCTTTTTCATCATGTATGTTAGTGATTTGAGTTTTATCTCTCCCCATTTTTAGCATGGCTAAGGGTCTGTCAATTTTATTTATTTTTTCAAAGAACCAACTTTGTGTTCTGTCAATTTTTTTCAGTTGTTTCTTTTGTTTCAATTTCATCTCTGATTTTAATTATTTCCTGTTTTCTGCTGCTTTTGGTGTTGATTTGTTGTTATTTTTCTAGGGCTTTGAGATGTAATGTTAAGTCATTTTTTTGATTTTTTTCTTCTTTTAAGGAATGAACTCCATGCAATGAACTTTCCTCTTAGAACTGCTTTTCATAGTGTCCCAGAGATTTCGATATGTTGTATCTGTGTTCTCATTCACCTCTAAAATTTTTTTAATCTCCTTCTTGATGTCTTCTGTAACCCATTGTTCATTCAGTAGCATATTACTTAGAGTTCAGGTGTTGGAGTGGATTTCTTATTTTATCATTGATTTCTAATTTTATTCCATTATAGTCTGATAGAATGCAGGGTAGTATCTCTACTTTTTTATGTTTGCTAAGAGTTGCTTTGCGGCATATTATATGGTCTATTTTAGAGAAGGATCCATGTGCTACTGAGAAGAAAGTGTATTCTCTCGTTGAAGGATGAAATAGACTATATATGTCAGTTAAATCTAAGTTATTGATTGTTAATTATTGAGTTCTGTAGTTATTTTGTTCAGCTTTTGTTTGGAAGATTTATCTAGTGATGAAAGAGGTGTGTTAAAATCACCCAAAATTATTGTGTTGTGGTCTATTTGACTCTTGAACTTGAGAAGAGTTTGTTTGATGAACATAGATGCTTTATTGTTTTGGGTATATATATTTATAATTGTTAAGTCTTGTTGGTGTATGGTTCCTTGGAGCAGTATATAGTGTCCTTCTTTATCCTTTTTGATTGATTTTAGTTTGAAGTCGGCTTTATTTAATATGAGGATGAAAAGCCCTGCTTCCTTCTGCAGTCTGTGTTGAGTGGTATGATTTTACTCAACTCTTCACCTTCAGTCTGTGAATGTCTTTTTCTATGAGTCTCTTGGAGGTAGCATCTTTTTTTTTTTTTTTTAATTCAATCTGCTAATCTGCTAGTCTATGTCTTTTGATTGGTGAGTTTAGGACATTAACATTCAGGGTTCTTATTGAGACATGATTTGTATTCCCAGCCATTTTTATTTATTTTTCTTATTTAATGTGACTTCGTTTCTCCTCTGGTTAGATTTTCTTTAGTGTAATCCCTCCCTCTACTGATTTTCATTGTTGTTTTTCATTTCCTCTTCTTGGAATATTTTACTGAGGATGTTCTGTAGTTCCAGCTTTCTAATTGTAAATTCTTCTAACTTTTGTTTATCATGGAAGGTTTTTATTTCTTCATCAAATCTAAAGCTTAGTTTTGCTGGATATAAGATTCTTGGTTGGCATCCATTTTCTTTCAGAGAGCTTGATATATGTTGTTCCACAATCTCCTGGCTTTGGGGGTCTAGGTTGAAAAATCTGCTGAGATACAAATTGATCTTCCCCTATATGTGATCTGATTCTTCTCTTTTGCGTCTTTTAAGATTCTCTCCTTATGCTGTATGCTAGGCATTTTCATTATAATGTGCCTTGGTTTAGATATGTTGTAATTTTGTACATTTGGTGTCTTATAAGCCTCTAGTATTTGGTTTTCCAATTCGTTCTTCATGCTTGGGAAATTTTCTGATATTATCTCATTGAAGAGATTGTACATTCCTTTGGTTTGAAACTCTGTGCCTTCCTCTATCCCAATAACTCTTAGATTTGGGTTTTTGATGCTGTCCCATCATTCTTGGATGTTCTGTTTATGGTTTCTTACTATCTTCACTGTGTGATCAACTTTATTTTTCATATTATATACTTTGTCTTCATTATCTGACTTTCTTTCTTCCAAGTGATCTAATCTGTTGGTTGTGCTTTCTATTGAGTTTTTTATTTGATTCATTGTATCCTTCATTTCAAGGATTTCTGACTGTTTTTTTCCCCCTGAGTCTCTGTCTCTCTCTTGAAGTAATCTTTTGCTACCTGTATTTGCTCTCTTATCTCTATGTTGGAGTGATCATTCTTTAATTCACTGATCATTTTAATTATGAACCTTCTGAATTCCTTGTGGTATTTCATCAACTTCGCTGTCCATGGGTTCTGTTATTATAGTGTCTAATTTGTTTGGGGCACTTTTCTCCCCTGTTTTTTCATGTTATCTATGTGTCTTCCTTTCTTGCAGTGTGGATTTGAGATATTACAGTTTCTTCCCTATATTCTTGTAGTACCTGTGCAGATTGTCTGTACCTCACCTTGATATTGGGCTTCTAGACCCTGCTGGTGTCCCTCAATATATGCATCTAAAGGTGGTGGTGGCAATAGCCGAGGTAACTCGAGATAATAGTTAAGGTGCCCCAAGATGGAAGCAATGTCTTATAGAGATGGAGCTGAAAGGGTGGGCCTCACACTCCCTTTGGGATGCCTGCTCTGAGATACAGCTGTTTTTAGGCCCTGTCTGTTGTCAAAAAGTTATGGGCTACTGCATGGGGAAGGCTATGGCGGTGACTGTAGTATCCTAAGATGGAAGTGGGTTAGGCTTAGGCTCCAAGGTGGGTGAAGGGTGAACTCGGACCTACCCTGGACCTGGATCCTGCACAAGCTGTTGTGGACAGATCTGGGCCAGGCCTGGGCTCCTGGGGTAGTCTCCTGGTTGGAAGAGGTGGTCCTGTGCTGGAGACTGGGCTCCAGAGGGTGCCTGCCAATGGAGGGGTGGACCCAGGCCTACTGTGAGCCTGGACCCCACACAGGTGGGTGGATCTGGGATGCTGGGCTTGACGTTCCACGTAATCTACTGGTCGGAAGGGATAGACGTGTGGCAGAGGATGGGCTTCAGTGGCTGGCTGTCTCATGGGTGGAGGAGTGGACCAGGCTTACTGTGAGCCTGGGTCCTGAGTGGACTAATGTGGGTGCTCTGGGCTGGTCCTGGGCTCTCGTGGTAGTCTGCTGGTAGGAAGAGGTGGTCCTGTGCTGGAGGATAGGCTCTGGTGAGTGTCTGCCCCACAGATGGAAGGGTGGGACTTGGGCCTGCTGTGAACCAGGATGCCGTGCTGGCTGGTTTGGGCCTCCTTATTTCTTCAGAAATGCAGAGGTAAAGAAGACAGTTTAGTCTCTAAGAAATGATGTATTATAATACACCAATACAAATATGAAAAAAATTTAAAACTTTGAAAATGATGTAACAAGTGACCCTTAGAGCAGTATTTAGTTACGAGCTCATTCAGTCTCTGATAACAGACCAAAATGTGACTTGATCCTGGTAAAATCTCTCAAAGCCTCCTCTATAAAATGGAAATAATGAATGTTAATTCCTATTATATGCTTTTAGTAAATCTCAACTTTTGTGACTGGTATTACTGTTATCATGATTATTGTAATAAATGCACAAATAACTTCATTTGAAAGAGGAATAAGCTATATTGTGTGAAACCTATTAATAAAGTTCCATGGAGGGGTATGTGTATATGTGGGGATCATGTAAAAATTTTTATGGAAAGGGTGGCTTTTGAGATGGACCTGAAAATGAATGGGATTGTTAAAGGCAAATAATGGAATAGAATAAAGGCCTTTTGAGGTGAGTTAACAGTTAAAAAAACAGAAATTTAAAAATATAGAATTATAGAATTTGAAGAATAGCAAACAGTCCAGTTTTTAATCTTTTTTTTTTTTTGTAGTTGTAGATGGACAGCATGCCTTTTTATTTGCTTGTTCTTGTATGTGGTGCTAAAGATCAAACCCAGTTCCCCACATGTGCCAGGCAAGCACTCTGCCACTCAGCCCCAGCCCCGTCAAGTTTTTTTTTATTTTATTTTATATTTTTAGTTATAGATGCACACAATATCTTTATTTTTATGAGGTGATGAGGATTGAACCCAGTGCCTCACATGTACTAAATAAGCACTGTACCACTGAGCTATAACCCCAGCCCCAAAAGAGTCCAGTTTGCATCAGAGAATAAGTTTGACAAAGGCATGGAGTATTGATTTAGAATGAGGAATTTACATTTGTTGGTTAAGGAAATGGAAAGCCGTTGAAATTTTTGAGCAATGTTTTTCATTTTTTTGTAAATGGAAGGTATATGAAAGCTATCTTTGTTTAAAAGTTTTGCTCTCACTTTGAGTAAAAGAGGATTTAGAAACTTACAGACCTTTTTAGAGAAAGATAGTGTGTTGTATTTTTTTTACTTTTACATCTTTTATCTCATCAAGTTCAAGTGAGGGTTAAAATGAGATGAAAATTAAAGGACAGTAACTTTTATTAAAAATCATAATAGAAATGGCTCAGAAGTTGAGACTTAGAGTTTATGTTTTCTGAACTACAGTTTCTTGAGTGTAGTTGGAAGACTTTCAATAATTAATTATTCTCTAAATATCTCCCCTTGAATTATTTGGTATTATAATAAGTGAAACTCTTTGTTTACTATTGAATTAAATTATAATTTAAATATTTTATACTGTTTCTACATATTTCAGACATGGCTTATTTGTTAGATTATAAGCTCACTGAAGGTGGCAACTATATATGTGCAGTCCTCATTGCATTACATGTAGGGAGGTTATATATGTATATATAAAATGCAGATTATGCATATGGAATTTTTAGTAAATCTTTAGGATTTTACAATTGTATATAAAGTGTTAGGTATGTGTAGTTGTTTATTCTGAGTAAAGGGTGTATAACTTTTTATTACATTTTTAGAGAATTCTATGACCCTGTAATTTTGCCTGTTACCCTAGATATTTGTCTAAATTTGTAGTATCATTTTCATTTTTTCGTATTGTTTAGATTTGACTTCATTTAATTTGTTTCAAAATAAAATTAGAACCTGTTTAATTTTGGTTATGAATTTAGAGGGTTTAATGAAAGGACATTTTAGAATCATCATAAATCGTTTTGATGACATACTTAATGCCATGGAGTAATTTTGTACTATATAATTTAATTTAGGAAGTTGAGTGCCGGCGCATTTATTTATTCTACTTGAATTTAACATCTCTACCCCAATGGTTGCTTTGGTCACTCTTGCTTGGGCTTCTTTCTTCTAGTATGTTATACTTCGTACTTTTTAGGAAGGTTCTCCTAACTTTGGGTGAAAAAGAAAAGTGCACTGAAGACTTTAGAACATATGTACTTGTGGTGAGAAGCTAGGTAGATTTTTTGAAAAAGCAATAGGCACTGAGTTGCCATCCCTGATGTACTCCTTGTTAGTTTTGTGACCTTCAAAATGTTCAGTGTTTAATATCTTCATCTGTAAAATGGAGATGATATTATCCATCTCAAAATATGATGGCACATACAAAGTAACTAATGCAGAACCAAATATGTAAGGACTAAAATATTGTATTCTTGTCCCTCCTTATTCCAGGGCTGTATACATTTTCCTGAAATAAAAATATTGACTCCTATTAAAAAAAATTACTTTTAATTCTACTAGCAGGTTGTTTAACTAGACAGTGGTTATTGGCATATAGATTTGCAAGGGGATCTAAAAACGTTGAGAACTTTTGGCCTGTTTCATAGAAGTAGGCTCTTTGATGTGAACCAGATTAAAAAAAATAAGATGAAAAAAAGCAAGAGGATTCATATATGTAGATTTGTCATTTTTTTAAAAAAAGCATTTTATTATATTCCCATAGCATTTTATATAGTTATCCTCATTTTTAAAGTAACTTTTCTGTTTTTACTTATCATTCATACAATCAGAAATAGACTACTAAGCAAGAGGAAAAAATTTTCCAGGACCTTAATTAAAGAACTATTTTTTATATTTTAAGAACTATTTTTTACATTATTAAAAATAACTGCTCATGAGAAAACCAATGTGGACTTCTACTCTAAGAAAGTATACTGGATGGCCTTTTGTTGTACTTCTAATTTATTTGGAATGCTTTCTTGGGCATGCCGTTTTTACTTCCTTGGTTATTAAAATTTATTTATAAAGCTAGAGGATAGAGTCTTTGACCCCAAAGTCCTCTTACTGCTAAAATGTTATGGTTTTATTTTATTTTATTGATCATTACACAATTTAGCAAAAATCTCTCCACATTCCATGTGCAAAGGTAACTGCACCTGATTCAAAATAGTATTTTGAATTTCCTTTTGTGCATTTGCTTTATATATTATGAGGATGAGATGTTTAACATATTGGGTTTTTCTTCTTCCATGCATGCCACATGCATTAAATAAATGGCAGTCGGCAGACCACAGGGCAGCTTGGGACTCCCAGCAGGCAAATCCCCACCATTTGAGAGCTCACCTTGCAGCAGACAGACATGGTGGCTCGGTACAGGTATTTTCTGATTTTTGCATGAGTGATTATTCCCCAAATTTATACAACTAACCCTTTTTTTTTGGAACTCGTGGCATGATTTCATATCCTAATGGGAAGCTTGTTGCTGAATTCTATTAATAATTCTTTTCCTTTGTTATTTAACAAAAAGAATAGAAACAACAGCAAATTAACATAGTGTGGAAGACCACCAGGGATACTAAGATTTTTGCCTTTATTCATTTTTTGCAAATACATGCAATAATATTTAAGACATACTCATAACAGATTAGAAAAATGAACTATATTACTTGAAATATGTGTTAAACTTGATTTTTCAATAATTAGCTAATTCTTAATGTTTTAAGTAATAGAACACTTTAATATCTTTCCCATTCATTGATTTTGCCTCCTTCAAACTTAATTTTTAGATATCGAACTCTTAAAAATTCTTGTATCAGAATATACTTGGTGATTAACTAGTCAAATAAATATGATCCTGATTTTTATAATGGGATAGTTTGTTTGTATTTAGATAAAAAATTTTTCATGATAATTATTACCCTCAGTAAATTGTGTAGATTTTTACACAAATTTAAAGCAGTTCTTTATTTATGATTTATTCCTTTTCTCCCTTTTTTATACACTTAAGGACAGCGACTATAGTCTGCCCTCCCATGACCTCTAAATTTTAATTATTTATGTGCATTGTAGAAATAGGAAAAGACAATGGAGTCACATATGTCTTTTAAAATGTTGTTTTAAGGTATTCTAAATGCTGGCTTAAAGAATATTTAAACAACACTTGTTATCTCAGTCCATTTCATTTTAGAGTCTATTTTTATTTTTTATTGATATATTTCTACTTGAATAATTTTCCTTTATAGTTTATCAATTTCGTATTTTTCTTAATATGTATTTAATCAGTTGAATTTATACTCCAAATTTTATTCTTTACTTAAATTCTAAAAATAATTTGATGATTAAATTTTATAAGCACTCATGTTTTAGAGCTAATTTTAAAGGTCATTTAAATAATGTAACCAACTATTTTTATAGAATTTTGTAGTGTGTAGAATTTTCAATATTGCATAGAAGTATTTGAATACTTCTAAAAAAGTCTAGAGTGAAAAACTCAGAGATAAGCAAGCCTGAATTGTAAAACTTTTTAACATCCTCAATTCATATCATTGGAAAAGCTAATTGAACAAATTATATTTAATTTACATACAAAAACTGCATCCAGTAAGTCTCTATATATGTTTGCACATTTCTAAGTTCATGTGTATGTATTATAGCAAGTGTTTTAGTCATTGTTCAGGAAAATCTGCAATAATTAAGGCACTGTTAGAAATCTTTTCTGCTGTTTTTGTACTGTTATTGCAAATTTATTTTCTTAGCTTCTTCTTACTCCTATATGATTCCCAAAGATGGCTCATTGTATCCATTTGGACTATCTAAGGGTGAATGAATTTGATTATGGCTCATACTTCATGTTTTTTTTTCCAATGTACTTTTCTTGTTTCTACTCATTTCTCTCTAAAACTTGTCTGCTTATAGAGACTCCATCTGACCTCATCCTAATATTCAATAACTGATTAATTTACTTATTAGAATTATAGTAATACATAAAACATATAAATAAAACAAGAAATTATGTACTATTTTTATTGACTTCATGAATATATTTTATATTATTATACTGACCTTATATAATAGACATTAAAGAAGTTAATAAAAATTTACTAACACCCTAAGTAGCATAATACCTGCGTATTATCCCAATGCAAAAATACTGAATTCATTTTTTAATTTATATCCTTCATATTTTTAGAATTATTTGGAATGTTATGATACTTGGGCTAGTAAAATTATAAATTAAAACTAATAATAAGAGGATAAATAAAAATAAAAAGTTTCTAAAATCTAAACTAATATTGAATATTATTGTTGATCATGGATGAAGGCAGAAAGGGAAACAATGTATTTTTCCACTCTTGTTGTCTACTAAAGAGAAGAGATAAAGATTTTTTTCTGTGCTGGGAATCAAATCCAAGGCTTTGCACATGCTAGGCAAACACTCCATCACCAAGCTTCACTTCCCAGCACCCGAAAACTTTTTGCTAGTAAAAAAGTATGGAAGAAATTCGCTTTGAGATTCTTCATGGTCATTAAATTACCTGTTGAACAAAGATTCAGGGATTGACTTTTCTAGAAATACAATGGCCTTATATGACATTTAAGAAAGTGTTCTCAATAAATATTAAAGGCATATTTTATTGTTTGTCAAAAAAGACATTTCAATAAAAAAAATAGGTGGCTACTTGGTAATGAAATGTGATGCAGATTCAAGATACTCAGAAGCAGGAACAGCATGAAATGAAATAAGCCATTCTGAATCTGTGACTTTCTTCTCTGACCACTGCACTTTATTCCATAGAACTGATCATTGTCAATGCAGCACTTTAAAGTATTCCCGGCTGTTTAGTGTTAACATGGAGGGTGAAATCTCTCACAGTTTTTGACCTACAGAAAGTTCTGCAGATATTTGTTATTTCAGATGTGTTTTAATAGAAACTGAGGAGCAGAGTCTAAACTTGAAATCCCTGCCTTTCCAGAATTATATAACAGACCAGGCATGCAAGTTGCCAGATTGATGACATTGTGCTTATAAGCACAGTGACTGGAGTCAGATTGGGTTCAAATTTTGTGTCTCAAATTATTTATCAGTAAAAAGAGGATGTTAATAGTACATTTACATCTATCTCATGGTTTTATTGGTGAAATATAGTTTTAAAAAGTATTTAGCATGGAGACTGGGAATTAGTAGTAGATGAGTAGAATCTATTGTTTTTACAAAGTGTAAGAAACTTGACTAGTATTTTTATGCATCTCTGGGAAGTAAAGTATATAGAGGCACAGTCAAAAGAGCATGGTCAAATGGAATTTTTTTTTTTTTTGTAATTCTGTTTTCTTAGTGCAATCATATTAATTCACAACTATAACTATGAAATGTACCTACTACAGAGACTAAAGAATCATGGTCAAATATATGAAGATTTTATTTTGAATCTATTCTTGGTCTGTGTGTGTTTTGGAAAACAAAACAAAATCGATTGACTATTCCACCTGTGTTCCCCCTTAGAATCATTGGTAATGAATATGGCTGAGAAACAGACTTATCACATTCAGTTTTTTTTAAATCCTTATTCACAAAAAATCTCTATAAATGATTACTAGGTGCTAGGTATTGCTCTAGGCTCTTTCATGAAAGGAAGAATACAAAGATATGGTACCTATCTCCATGGAAATTTTAGTCAGTAGAGGAGGCTAATAAGTAGGCTGTGTAATATGTAGAGATGGCACCAAGTGCTAGGAATATAAATGGGAAAAGCACCTAACCTAGATTTAGTGGGTCGAAATTTCCCAGAAAAAGTGATAGCTAGGTAAATTGAGACCTAATGAATCTGCAGGAGTTAATCAGCTGAAGAAGGTAGAAGGGCTTAGGAGAACCGTGTACCAATCAGGCTGAGAAGACAACACATCATGGAGGTCATGGAGGATAGAGACATATTGAGTAATTGAATTCATTCTGCTACATGTTGAGAAATGAGAGAGGTAGGCAGGAAGCAAATCATGAAGGATATAATAGGTCCTCTAATTAAATTTGGACTTTATTCTAAAGATATTGAGTAGGGGCTAATATTGGTAGGGGCTAATTTGTTTCAATTATGTTTTCTAAAGACTGCTTTTGCTAGAGACTCGATTGAAGGGAGAAAAGTCTGAACCACAACTATCAAAAGTGTAATGGTGATGGAGATGAAGAGAATGAGAGCACTTGAAAAATAATTAGAAGGTGGAGTTTAGTTGGTTATGGGGCCTGAGGGGAAAGGAAGAGTTTAGTTATCTCTTTTTAATATGTTTCTACATATCCTGACAAATCAGATCTCTAAAATTAGTTTTAAATATATACTAGTGATAGATAGTGACAGTCTCTAATTCCATTGTAACTGTGCCTTTCACTGTAGCACAGTGCCGTTGAGCTCAGTGCTGCTTGAAAATCTAATCCTATGAATTTGGAGGGTGGGAAACTGAGCAGAAGGCATGTATTAAGGACACTACTGTACTGAAAAATCATGTTACATAGTAAATAGTGTACCTCATCATAGTTTTAGAATCTCTTGTTTGAAAGTCTTTAGTTTGAATGATAGGATTTTGAGCTCTTGGGGGAAGAAAGGAGTAGAATAAAAAATGATACAGAATAAATATTGTGCAACTTGATACTATTAAGAAAAATACAGGATAACATTAATTGTTGTAATAAGCAATCTGGTATTTTTGCAGTATACCATCAGAAATACAAATACATATGATGATAACAGAAAAATAATTGGACAAATATATCTTGCAGTTGTGAGAAAACATACATGTTGAAATGTCAGGACTAATATTTGTCATATCTCAGTTGGTTCTACATTACAGGAATTCTGAATGCTGACCTTTCTAAAACATTTCTAAAATTGGGTTTCAGCCTTCTCTATAAAATCTTTGAAAATAATAGAGTTACTAATGAGGAACAAAATTGAGTGACTGTTATAATCACATTTTTTAGCCATAGATTTCTGGGGAGCTGAAATTGTAAGAGAGATAATGGAAGGAGTATAGTGACCTGTGTAGTCACCTGCTTTTATATGTAAATAATTTTTAGTTCATCTCCTTTTAGTTTAGCTTAGGAAATTCATTTTCAGTTATCACTGGGGCAAAGCAGTATTATTAACTTATTTTGATATTCTTTTAATAATAACATTTAAAGTAACATCTTTAAGTGTTATTATAAATGTTATTTAAGATTTGAATGCTCAAAGAAAATTGTACTCTAATACCTTTGTAAGTAAAAGTTAAATTGAAAATTTGTTTGGTTTATTTTTGTTGAAAGTTCATTAAATTGTTCCTATACTCAGTGGTCATCTTTTGGGATATAATGAATATCAATTATAGCTTTAACTACAGTTTTTAAGACTATATGTAAGAAAGTTGGTTTCAAATAATATATGTGTAGCTTTAAACAAGTCCAGTAAACTCTTTGGAACTATGTCAGTTTTTAGTGTGCTTTAAAAAAAAAACTTTTAGAAAAAAACTGAGTACATAAGTAAAACATGTAATGTTTTAGTATCTCTAATACATTTGTTGGATTTGAGATCTGGTTAATTAACAGATTATATTGAGCCTCTACTGTGCACTTGGTAATGATGCTTGTATGAAATTAAATAGAAATTAGGAAGATAGTAGTATAAACAATTTGTATAAATTCATTATTTTTATGCAGTATAGTTGAAAATGTAGCTCAGTGGTAGAGTGCTTGCCTATAGTGCATGAAGCCTTGGGTTCAATCTTATCACCAGGTGGGGAAGAAGATTCATATTTGGAAATAAATTAATTTGCTTTTAAAAGTTATTGACCACAAAGATATTGTGACAAAAAGGTATTTAACATTGAAAGGAAGGGAAAGTGGTGTGAGATCAGAGAAAGTAGGCAAGTATCATGTCATGAGGGACTTTGCCAATGGAAAGGATATAGAATATAGATTTTTATAGAAAAAAGAATATAGAATATAGATTTTATAGAGGAAAGAATATAGATTTTTATTCTCAGTGAAATGGGAAGCCAATAGTTGGAGCATTTTAAGCAAGAAATACATCCAGTTGATTTACATCTTAAAAGGAGTACTGTGGTTGTTGTGTGGATAATACATTTTACTTGGAGGACAAGTAAAACCAGAAGACCAGTTAATAGGCTTTTACTCTTATTTACAAAGAAAACATGGTGGCTTGATAATAGGGCCTAGTAGTAATAGAACTGGGGAGATCTGATTAGGTATGGGGTATGTTTGGGGAGGATTTAACAGGACCTACTTATGTATTAGATGTGGGGGTTAATTCAAAGAGGAATCACGGTGTCCTATATTTGGGGCTTGAACAACTATGGAGATGAATAGAGTTGCCATTTCTTTAAATGGGCAATAAGTGATGGAGGCCTGAGCATGATTACAGATTGTAGTGAACCCATCAGAAGGGCAATATGAAAATTTTCAAGCAAAGTAACTCATGAGGTAGTGATGTACCAAAGAGAAGGGGTATACAAGAGGGAATTGATTGAGACATTAGTGGAGCAGTTAGCTTTCAAGCCCAGGAAGAGGAAGATAGAAGACAGAAATTTTAAGATAAGGGAAGTAAGTTGAAAATGCAAGTAGTATGACTTTATCTTCAGTAAAATGCTAAACTTATTACTATATTTGTTATGAACAGCTTCCTACTAATTGTTTTGTACTCTTCCTATTAACTTTCTAATTTAAGTATTTTAATCTTTACTTAGTGTATGTATATGTGTGTGTGTGTGTGTGTGTGTGTGTGTGTGTGTGTGTATGAGATATATATATATATTTTTTTTCTTTTTTTTAACAGGTTGTAAGTTCCACAAATGGAGAGTTAAACACAGATGACCCTACTGCAGGACGTTCAAATGCACCCATCACAGCCCCTACAGAAGTAGAAGTGATGGATGAAACCAAGTATGTATTCATTTTGCTTGTTTTAATAACTTCTTATACTATGCATGTTCGAGATTTATAGTCACATAAAATTATTTCAGAGAATTTTTCTTTCAAGGAATAAATGCATGCAAAACAAGTGGTGTGATTAATTATTTTAATCACTAAATTTAAAATAGTTTTATTCTAGTAAATATTTTAATAATAAAAAGTAGCTATTTAAGAATTGTGCTCATATTCTTATATATAAGTAATAATAAGTTTGTAGTTTTTAACATTTAGGATTGTTGCATGAAAGTTTATTCCTGTATCATTATTTTTTTTCCCGTAAGAATAAGAATCAGTTTTTTTCTAGAATGTTGCATGCTTTACTATTGGTTCTAAAAATATAAGTTATTATAATGCTGCTTGGAAAAATTAAGCATGAAAATAATGTGATCATTTCAGTGTGGGCTGTTTCTGATGATCTCTTTCTCTCTCTCTCTTTCTCTCTCTCTCCTTGTATTTTTTTTTTTTTCCGTGTGTGTGTATATAGCTGCCAGAAAGTGTTGAACATGTGGTGAGTTTTCAAGTATAGGCAGGCAGAAAATAGCTCCATTGACTATAATTTCAAAGATTTAGCACTGCTTTTGTTTTTTTCCCCTAAACAAACCTCTTAACTTAGAAGCTACAATTGGTAAAAGTTATTTGAAAATATTTGCTATCATTACCATTAGCTCTTTAGAAGCAAGAAATAATTGTTTGAGGAGCTCTTTTGCCTGCTACAACTGTTTTCCTCAAATGACATTAATTTTGGGGCACTTTTTAATTGCATAGATGGAATGTGAACACTGCTTTTGCTTATGCATTCGTTTTCTAACAATGGGTTTTTGTTACTTTACAACAGATATGTTTTTGAGTTAAGTTTTCTTTTTTCCTGTTTGTCATTATTAAATACACATAGCAGATTCCTCCTTCCCCCATAGTATCACTAAAATAGTATTTCACTTACTAACCAATTATCATCATCATTGCATACCATATTCTTGTTAAACTGTCATGAGAGAAAAATTTAGAAATCCTCTAAATAGTCCTGATAATCACCAACATTATGAAAAGTAATACCTTTATTAGTAGAAATAATATTGAATTTAAATTACATTCTGGCTTTTAGTTGTAATACTGTGCTTAAAATGCTTTTCTCAGTTTCAGGATAAATTTTGAGTCAGCATGGAGTGAATAAAGGAAATTGCTTAAAGTAGTGAATTTTGAAGCATTTTACTTATTCACTCTTTTTAATTATGTGCAAACATTACATACAATTTCTTAAAAAATGCTCATTTGTTGACTGTAAAATGAGACTACTTTTGTGGATATTTCTTTTTAAAGAACACTTTAATTTCCATTTTAATCAGTTTTGACTCTAGAATTTATGGACACTGTGACTAAACATAAGACTATTCAAGATATAATTAGTTAGTGATTTACTTTAAATAAAAAATAAAAATAGCAGCTTATGTATATGAATTTTAGATACCACCCTAAGAATACTTAGGAAAGTATAATGGCACTGTGGCAAGTTAGAATGTATTTATTCTTTGCAGTTAAATATGGATTGTAGAATCCTACTTTTACCACTTATTTGTTACATTCTTTAAGCTTGTTTCTTTTTCTGTAAAATGATGCTAATAATATCTACCTTATAGGTTATTGAGAAAATTAAATGTGATAAAGTGCTGATGTTTTGTTTGGCACATGGCAGGTACTCAGTAGCTGTTATCATCCCTTTCTGTTTCTTCATTATCAGCTTCCAGTGGTCTTTCTCATCTGCATTCTTTCTAGTCTTGTGCCTGTTCCATCAATGTCCCATAATATTACTTCTATACACACCCTCTTCTCTGAAACTGACAATTTCTGTTCACATCATTCTAGAGACTTGCTTTCAATTAAATCTATTACATTTATCTGTTGGTTTATTCAACAGTTATACTATTAGATTTCAGAAATATCTGATACTGGGCTTGCTTTTAAGTAGGTTACAACTAACAGGAAAAATTGTAGTTGTTTTAGGATGTATCAGTATATTATACATATTATGAAAAAAGTATTAAAATCTTAGAATTTGTAAAGAAAAGACCACTTCCTGACTTGGATAATGATAGAATGCTTTATGAAGGTGGCTTTGAAGAATGGTGTAGTAATTTATTTAGTTGGTATGGGTGGTGTTGTGTGTGTTTATGGGTTCAGGTCTCATTTCTGTAGGCATTGGAGAATGAGATTGAAGAAAGTGATGGGAAAGCTATTCCTGAAGAAACTATTCTCAATTGCTTGGAGCATCGGGTCCAGATTTCTTGCCATGACACCAAAGCCCTTTTACATTTTCATAATCTGGCCCCTAACTTTTTTTTCTCCAGCCCCATTTTTCATTCTAAAGTCTATGTTCCACCGATTTGTTAAGTCTGCCTTTGTTATATTATTCTCTTTATGTACCTCTCACTTTCATGAATTTCATGAAATCAAGGCTTTTTTATCTTCACATCCCTAGTAGTCAAAATAGTGCATCTCAATATATTATTAGTACATAATTGACTAAGAAATGTGGTGTACCAGTGTGATGGAATGCCATCCAACAACCTAAAGAAGTGAAATTGAAAACATTTTTAGTGAAAGAAGCCGGACAAGAGGACACATGTTATGTGATTCTGTTTAAATATATTGTCAGTTTAGGCAAATATGCAGACAGGCACAGGAAGTAGATTAGTGGTTGCCTAAGGCAGAGAATAGGTGGGTGGGAGTGACTGCTAATTGATAATGGAATTTCTTTATAGTGGGACGAAAATGTTATGAAATTAGTGGTGATGACTGTGCAATGCTGGATGTACTATACAGTATTGCATTGTACATGTTAAAGGGTGAATTTTATGTTATGCAAATTATTCTTTAATAAAACTGTTAAGGGGGAGAAAAGGTAGCAATCTGTGATTTCAGTGAAAGTTTACTCTAGAAGGGTTCCAGGAATCCTTAGAACTTTTCTGCCTCTTCACTAAAAACTCTTCACATGTAAGGTTTTATCTTTCCTTTAATTAGGTTAGTTCTTAACATCTCTATAAGTTCCTTAATAAGTTCCTTTTATTCTCTTTTTCTATGATTAAGAAATCTAAGTATACTTTCCTTTCATAGATTAAATCATATGGCTGTCTTCCTTCTGTTACCATTTTGCAGAGAACCTGCTGGGAATCTGCCTAGAATTCTGTTTCAGAATTTCTTTCCTTTTTCTGATTGGCAAAGATCCTCTTACCTAGTCCCATTATTTAAAATGTATTCTCTGTTGGACATTTTAGCATTCTCAGGTTTCTTAAAATAGTACCTCATTGGGACACATAATTTCCAAATGACAGAAAATATTCTGTCCCCTCATGTATAAATTGGCTTCTTCATTAGTAAAGAGATTTTGCTTTATCTGTTTTAGGTGAGAATTTTGTTTCAAGGTCATACAAATGATAGCAAGCTCATCATTCCTTCCAGAAATTTAGAACAAGATTTCCTTTAGTTTAATTATTATTTTTTAGAAAGTAGGATACTATCTGTGTTTGTTTCTTCTACTTCTTTTCCCCCTACTAATATTCACTGAACAGATTATTGATGTTAGTAGATTATGAAGATATGTCAAGGCTTCCATAGCACCAGAGAGACAGAAAGTACATCAGTGACTTTCCTATAGTGTTTTCAACCCTAGTTTTGCATTATAATCACCTGGGGAGTTTGAAAATATACTTAGGTTATACATTCAGAGTTTCTGATTTAAGTAGTTTATCTGGGGGGAAATCTAATTATCAGTATTTTTAAAAAGTTTCCAGAGAGATTCTAAGGAACAACTGGCTTGAGAACCATTCATATAATGCAAGGCATTATGGGATTCACACTACAGTAGAGGGACAAAATGTTATTGGAATTTAGGGAACAGAGCATGTACTTCTAGCTGGGAAGATCAGAGAAATCTACATGATTAAGAGTACTTTTGGAACAGTTCTGAAAGACAAGCATAATTTTTTAAATTGGGTAGCTCAAAATAGATAAGCATATTTGACAAAGAGAATTAGTGGAAGGAGTCAGAGAGAAGAGGTTGAGCAGTGATGTGGGGCAAGGAAAAAATGGAGCAAGTTTGAGGAGTAACCCCTGTGAGTATAGAGACTATGAATACGTTAATGGAAACTGCAACTGGCTATGTGTCCAGTCCCAAAGGACTATGATAGCCAGGGAAGGAAATATGAACATTATATTTCTCACTACAAGAAAGCAAGCTGTGATTTAAATCTAGAAACAATACGATCCAATTGGACTTTAGGAAAATTAATCTGGCAGCAGTTAAGAGGCTCTGTCACTTCCTGAGGTTCATCAGATTGCAAAGAGTGGCTCAAAACTACAAATGAAGTTTTCCTGTGAAACTAGATAGATAATTTATATTTTGGGTTAGTAGTCTCTAATGATTAAACTGTTGTTTAAAAATTATATTAGGATGCCAGGTGTGGTGACATATGCCTGTAATCCCAGTGACTAGGGAGGTGAGGAAGGAGGATCACAAGTTTGAGGTCAGCCTCAGCTACTCAGTGAGACCTTATCTCAAAATATGAAAAGGACTGGGGATGTAGTTCAGTGGTAAAGCACTTGTGGATTCAATTCTGAGTACAAAAAAAAGAAAGAAAGAAAGGTATTAAGATGACAGTTTGGTCCATTTAGTTTCTAAGAGTTAAGGGCTTTGATAGTCTTTAAAATTATAAAGATTAACAAAACATGTTTCCTCAAGGACCATCTTAATAAGAAAGAGAAAGGCATTAAAATTATGGTACAAAATAATAAATAGTGTGTAACTTGTTTTAGGGAGAGGACAAATGGATTTTAAGTGCAAGGAAGAGCATTTGTAAAGATAAGGGAATATAAAAGTCCATATGGTATGTTCTAGTGCCTTGTTCTGTTCCTCCCTTCCTGCTTAATGCAACATGTGACTGAGAGGAGCATAGACATAAACTGGGAGCCAAATTTAAAGAGTATTGTGGACTTAATTCCTTAGCCAGTGTAGAACCATTGATGAGATTTAAGAGGAAAAGGGCATGGTTGTATTTATGATTGGGACACTGAATGGCAGATTGGCGAGTAGACTGCAAATTCCATTAAAAAACTAATCAATCACAGAAGCAGGATGAAAATTTCTGAACTAATCTAGCATGAGAAGATATAAAATACAAACAGGAAAATTTTTGCAAGTCTTCCAGACTGAGAGACTTGCCCATGGATAGAGAGGAAAAATTGGAGATGAGGATAGGCCTATATGTTCCTACCTGGAGTAGTGATGTGGATGGTTTTCCTGTCTAATCAGAATTCTTATTGTTTAATTGAGCAGTTCCTCATTTTTAAAAATCAAGAGATTCAAAGTTAGAAATATTACATTTAAAGTATTAAGGGAAAAATCCTTTGTTCAACAATTAAAGATTAGATGTCATAGAATATTTTCTGTATACTCATCAACGTAGGTCAGGAGAAACTAGATTCTGAAGTCTTAAGTGGGTAGGTTCTGGGAGGCACAAATAATCTTGGCTGAAGGATGAGCCAGTGAGTTGTTGTGGTAAGTAAGAGCTTCTGATCCAGATAGGAAATCATTTCAGTTTTGGGATGGGTTTGAGAGAAATAAGTGTATTACATAGATCCAGGCAAACAAAGAAAATTCTAGATGAGGAGAAAGGCAATGAACAGGGGGTAAATGTTGGTGCATTATCAATAGTTTGCCATCTATGTTTTCGTCATGGTTCAGGAATTTGATCCATTATGATTCTTGTTCCCTAATAGCATTTAAAGAAACAACCTTAGAATTCATCAGAAGAACTTAATATTTAATCCCAAAGGGTTTGGGAGTAGCTTTAAAGCTTTAGGCTAGCTACTGAATGGTGTCAGATAATGATTCTTCCTTGGGAGAATTGTTGGCTCAGTAGAACAACATAAGGAATAATAAAGAAGGAGCGGGGGGGGGGGGAGACAGCATTGACAAGAACAGGATTTTAATGTTCGATAAGCTTAATCAGATTCCTCAGGTTAGTTGCCAATAGCCTATACCCAAAGAAACCCCAAGTGAGTATGAATTAATGAGTAAGAAATTACAAACAGCAAAGAGAGAAAATATATTTTAAAATTTACATGTATGGATAATTTTCTAATATCAGATAGTTGAATTTATTTATAAAATAATTTGCTCATATTATCTGTGAGAACTGTTATCTGTGCTAATTCCTAGAATCCTTGCTGTTATTATAGTAGTTATCCATATTAACTGGTGTTCACACCCTGCTTTCAACCATACCAAGGGCTAAAATTACTTTGATTTATCTCTCTCTCTCTCTCTCTCTCTCTCTCTCTCTATCTATCTATCTTAGAGAGATATATTTGCCTATGCTCATATAATTTGAAGGCATGGAACCATGTAGTATCTGCAGTTTCAGCGTATAGTATCAGACTGAAGCTCTTTTGGAAATGGACAAATAGAAGAAGTGACCCTGCTGTTACATTTAGGGAGCAGTGCTTCTTAACCTTGGGATTGAGACTCCTTTAAGAATCTGCTGCAAACCATTTTTCTCCAAAACAGAATATTTTAGGCACTACAATACCATTTTATGAGATTTTACTAGAGTTTGTGTTCCATGGCTTTGAACTGTAGAGTTAGAATATGCTTGAGCATTTTGACTAACTTCTAGAAATTAGTTGCATTTAGGAGAGAAAGCATTCTTTTATTTAACAAATATTAAATGAGTGTAAGCTTTATGCTAATTTGTTGGAATATATCTGTGAGCAAGTCCTTAGAAAGATTAAATTCTAATGTGAACGAATATTATGAATAAATCAAAGAATTTTAAAGTGGTAGTAAATAATTAGAGGAAAATAATACTGATGTAATAAAGTGATTGTATGAGAGTCGATTTCTGATTACTAACCACTAAAACTATAAATCAGCTGTTTTGGAAATTATTTTTAAGAAATTAGCCACAGATTAAAACACCATTTTCTTCTTATGTAATTATGTATTTTGAAATCTGTATGCATGAATGTTGGATACATTCATATCACATAAAGCAATGCTGCCCTCTGGTGGTAGTCATCTTAATAGCGGAGCAGTCCTTTGCAAATCTATTTTAAGAGGATTTTAGTGGGGTATCTTTCTGAAAAATCTAAGTCTTTGTTTAGATTGTTTTTGAACTTAAAGGCTACAACTAGAATACATCCATGACTCATATTTAGTCTCAAATAAATGCTTGGCATGGTTTTCTGTACTTGATAATACAAGTACAAGTATTTATACTATTTGAAAAAAGTTTATTTAAGAAATGGGAAGAACCTGGCTCAAAAACAATACTGGAAAAATAAACTAGGTAATGTGAATCACAAATACAAGTGTGGAAAATCTGGGACTTGAGCTTTTTCCTTAAAACTTGTATTACATTAAATTTCCTGTTCTAAAAGGCTTCCATATGTTAAAGTACCTTTTGAGTACAAAGTTTTTTAAAGAATGTTCTCTGGGATTTGAAATGACAAATAATAGTATTTAGGAACAGTGAATATTATTAAAATAACTTTGTATTAAATAATGATTTTCCAATGAAATATGACCAGATTCTTAAATGTAATACTTTCAGTGTTTGGCCTTTCTTCTAAATACCCACCGCTCGCCATGTTTTGCTTCCTATCATATGGACATTTATTTCAGAGTAATAATTTTCATCTCATAAATTAAATTGGCTTTAATGTTTTGTTTTGCTTTTATATTTTAGAAAATTTATGTAACAGATTTGAGGAAGCACTAGATAGCTAAATTTAAAAAGAAATTTGACTTATTTTTCTAAATCCAGGAAAAATCTTTTTTTTTTTTTCTTTTCTTCCAGTGGTAGCTTTTCTCTAGGCCCAGAACTGGGTAACTCATTGCAGGTTTTTGTGAAAAATTTAGCTAAGTGAGGTAAAAAGAATCTTTATGAATTTATAAAGATTCATAATTACATGTTTCTCATTGAATCTTTATAAATTGATAACACAATTTTGAATTATTTGTGTTCTATGATCTAGCCCTTATGTACTGTTTGGTACATTGTGTAACTTGGTTTCCAATATTCCATAGAAGTTCACAATCATGGCATAAATGACTTGAAATTATTTTAAACTAATGTTTATAGAGAGATTGTATAGTTTAATTGAATAGTGTTGATTTCTGTTAGCATTTATTTCACTGTAAGATAAAATGTCTTTAACAATTATTTTATTTCCATAATCTTTTGCTGGATAGGACACTTGAAGCTACCTGCATATCTATTATGCTTGGTTTGCAGATATGAATTAATATTCTCTTACAATGTGAGTTGATATGAATTACAAAACTGTTTTCATAAGATCATATTTTCTTTGAATCACAATTTTGAATTGACAGATTTTGGTGATGGAATCACCATGAACTTATATATGCTTTGCTTTTTTCAAAACTACATACATACACCACACTTCACTGGAAAATCCAAGGATAGCTAGCCATACATGCCCTATACCTTTAGTAAATTCAAACACAGGAATTAGAGGTGACTTTCAAAGGTTAAAAAAAAAAGAAAAATTGAAAGAACAGTGCCTCACTGTATATGGTAGGATATTCTGGTAGATTGACTTTCTTTTGAGTGTTAAAGGAGGAAAGAGCCATATCCTCATACCTGTATTTGAAAAATTTCCAGGCTTTTAGTTTGTACACATGTGCATATGCATATGTGTGTATATGTATGGTTTTCATTTTTATTTTTTGGATGAATCCTGATCAGCGATTCTTATTTAACTTTTATTTTATACCATTCTCAGCATTTTTCTACAGCAGCCATAATGTATTGCATCTTTTCATGACTAAGTTTAAATAGTTACCTTAAGGATTATATCTAGACTTTTCCCCTAGGGAATAAAAATCAAGACTATATTATTTTGAGTATCTATATTTTGAATTACAAAGCCGAATCACCTTTCTTTTTTCCAGTTTGTAAATATGATGGGAAATATTGATACATAGATGTTGGCTTTTTCTTTTGATCTTTGGAATCTGAACTGATTCTTAGTGAAAATGTGAAATCCCCAGTATTAGGATCATTATTGACTTTCTCAGTGGTGTCAACAATCAGATATAAATATCAAAGAGAAAGGGACAGACCTCTTAGGATGAACTTCATCATGAAAACGTGCCACTGTCAGATTATTGAGCATTCTAAATAACTTTGTCTGGGTCAGCTGGGATTCAGAATACCATAGCTTCTCAATTCTTGATGCGAAGCCATTTGAATTAAGTGGTTCCCTTTTATGTTACACAGCATGTCTTGCTATAACTAAAAGGCATGTTGATGAGACACAATAGTAATAACTCTGCCATAGTTTCACTAATATATGTGCTTCACTGGTGTGTTCACTTTCTTTTACTGGCCTGTTGCTTTTCATTACCACTTAAGATAATGTTGTATATTCAACCTTTGATAATTTTAGTACTTTCATAATAAAAGAATATTTCCTTTATCTGCAGGTGCTGCTGTTTTTTCAAACGAAGGAAAAGGAAAACTATACAACGCCACAAATGACTCTGGACACAGACAGATCATGGGGAGTTACTTACATGTACATCTGCTGTCTTGTGATTAAAATCATCTCTGTAGTGACCACATATATTTTCAAGGACTCACTCTTAGAAACAAATATGTCATACTTTCATACTTCGTTTTGTGATTGTCTTACATTCATATTTTTTTCTAATTTAACTTTTATGGAAGCTTTAAAGTTTTGTCAAAACATGAGTGCTTTGCCCATCAATGTATAGAATGGACCAATGAGGTGGTTTTGATGAATACAGTTCTATAGGACATTTTTCAGAAGCTCCTCTCCTGTTGTAGAAAACAGAGCAGTATCTTAAGTGTCAGCCAGTTAAATATACCTAATTTGATTTTTTTTATATCTTCTGTAAGAGGATAATCACCAGGAATTTTCTTCCCAGTGGATAATGCAACAGAGAAAACAGTTGCCCAAATGTTTTTAAAAAAGTTATTCCTTGAGAAGTTCATATTTTGTGACATCTGCATTGATTTCAGTATTACTGATGGTACTGTTATTCATGGATCATATTAACATTCTCTCTGTGAAATCATGGTACAGTCACTGCCCAGAGGTACTGAGAAAAAAGCTCTATGAGTTCAGCAGATGGTTTGGTAAAATGAATCACAATAAGTGCGGGAAATATGAGCTCTGCTTTTGTTGCACCGCTATGTGAAGTACAGTGTTGTAGGAGTGGCAAAAGCGCTTATTTTTTAAAAATGCAAAATATTTGTAAAATGTAACTTTATGCTTCCAGATAATAATGTATGTTAGATAGCAAGAAATGAATGCTTTGAGAAGTGACATGTTGGAATTTTCTTTCTTTTTTTTTTTTCTTAAATACACTAAGGAAAAGAAATAAATGTGAACCTCTTTGCAATGTATAAGGTTGAACCTAAGGAGATCCCACTGAAACCTACTGCTGAATGACTGACTGCATTCTCCCTCAAGCAGAAAACTTTGGATGTGCCATGCAATGGTGTCTTGTTTATTATTTTTGCTCTTTGATAAAAAAAAAAAGACCCCCCAGCAATAAAAACTGGGTCACTCTTTTTCCCTCTGTGCACATTAGTCTCTTGTATTCAACTTTGCTAGTTCTTGGAATTTTCCTACCCTTTAGTATAATTTTGATGATTGAAAAATATTTTGAAAGGATGGGTCAGGTACTTTGCCTCCATAGTCTTTTGAAGTGCCTGCATATGAACAAAGTAACAATTCTGTAAAAAAGGAAACCCATTCCACTTTTCAAGTATGCTTTGTTTTAAGCCATAAGGACACAGCTGTACTTTTGTCATGGTGTAGTAGCCCAAGTTTTCAAGAAGGTTTAAAACAAAGACTGGCTAGAAATTGATCAAATCTCATATTCACCTCTCATTTATAAAATTGTTACTTTCCATGCAGTCTCTTCTTTGTCTTTAAGTGTGTGCCTCCAGGCATGCTTATTTATTTTTATTATCTCAAGGTAACATTTAAAATGTGTATTAAAGTAAATAAATCCACATTTTTTTACTTCATTATTACATTTACAGAGATTTAATTGTACTTTATAATTTATTTTTCTTATTAGCCAAAATTTCAGTGCAGTGTTTGGTGATTAGGCACCCATATGAACACCACAAATCAGGACATTATTTATCACTATTACTCTAAAATCTCTGAATGATCTTTTCTTGATTTTAAAGACCTACTTTCACACTAGAAAACATTTGCTGTATAATTTGGTCAACAGTTTCCATTTCTGTTTCTTTGTTTACTGTCATGATGTCTTAAACTACAGGAGTCACTGAGTTTTTATTTTTGTTTGCTTTAAGTAAGGTAGATGGACGTTTTGGCCATTATAATGTGAAACCACTTCTTTCTTTACAGTATTTGACCAAATTTGTGTGTCTGTGATATTTGTAAATACATGTGATACCTATATTTCTTATCATAAGCCTATTTAGTTTTATTCTCAGTAGGGTTTTTTGGACTGTACAGTGTTTATATGATCTGAACTCCTTATACATAAGAAGGTGTGTATAATAATCCAATTATGGACTTAAATATTTTAAAAGTATAAATACCCTTATTTGCTGCAAAGACCAGTGTGTTAGACATTTGCTTTTTAGCAATATTTTTAAGTGCTCCATTTTAATGCCAAGGAATAAGTCTTTTGGCAACACAAACTGGTCAATAATAGGTAATGCAGGTATGTTCAGGTGAAGCCAACGATGTTTTGCATTTTTATGCTTCTTTTCTGTCAACACTAATGAAGTCAACATTGCCTGAATGTCTGAATAATGAAACACATCCCTGTTTAAAAGTATGTAACTGAAAAAGAAATAAAAAAATAAAGGTAGTTTTTTTAAACTTGCTCTTTCCCCTTTCCTCTAATCACAGGTAAAATAATCCCATTCATTAAGAGAAATTTAAAAAATTCAATTGATTGAGCCTATTACATGTATGAAGCAAAATTAGTTAGAGGAATATGGTTTTGTTATTTTTTTTTTAATTTTGTTATTTTGATTTTGTTTTTGCTTCCTTTTGTTGGAATGCAATTGTAAGAAGCATATACCAGGAAGAATCTAAGCTTTGTTTTTAATTTTTTAAAAAAATTCTCTGAACTACTTAATAGAGTGCTTAGTTACAGCTGTCTTCTAAAAAACAAAAGGAAATAAACAGAATAATTTTATTCGTTTTAGAGAATAAAATCATACTGTTATGTTCACAGAAATTCAGTATAACTAATCCAGTTTTAAGTGAATGACTTTAAAAATCCTTACAGATGATGGCAAGCACATATTCCTGTCAATAACTCAGTTTATCATGATGCTAGGTGCTTTAAAGATTTTTGACCAAAAAGGTATTGATGGTGCTGTATTTAATAAAAATTGCTACAGATAAGATGTGACAAAGCAGCACACACTCAGCCCGTGAGTAGTGTGTCTGCTAAGCACCAGAGACATTAGGAAACAGAAAAATCTGAAGATGATGTATAACCTTTAAAAGGCCCTATTTAGAAAAATCTGACACAAGATTGGGGTTCCAATCTCAATGATTATGTATTTGTCTTGGTAAGAACATTTTGAATGGCAAGTGATAGAAGCTTATGCTTGCTTAAGCAATTGGGCTGTACATTATTTCATTTAATGCCAAAACCCAGTGGTAAAACTATCTTCAGATGGTTAATCCTAATGTTAAGATGAGAATCTTTTTCTCTATATCTCTTTGTGTAGCTTTCCATCTTGTTGTTTTCACTTCCCATATATGATGATAAAGTGGCCACCCAGTAGCTTGAGACATTTATTGTACCATATTAGAAAATAATAAACTAGTAACTAGTAAAAACAATAGAACATTTTCCCCAAGAGTTTCAATAGAATTCTGACACTCACACCCCTTGCCCACATTGGTTTACTACTTCACCATTGAGCCCCTTACTATGGATAAAAATCTGTTCTACCAATGTGTGAGATTGAGTCATGAATCCACCTTTAGAAGATGTTTAGTCTGAGAAATGAGGTTAAAAAAAGGAGCTACACAAAAGGAAATCAGGATATTATAATCAAAAGGAGAGTGATTAGTTATTGAGCAGGCAAAAATAAATAGGTAACCCCATCATACTAAAGGAAATAAAATACAGCATATAGGCAAATGTAATTGTTTTAAAATTGAAAACATTTTCCCAGAATTGTATAAACATGGATATATTATTAGAAGTCACATATAGTGAATGGGTACATCTGAAAAATGTTTGGGACTTAGGTGTAAAGGAAAGTTACAAGTATCTTATTTGGTATGTTTTGGTTTTTGTTTAGCTTTTCAGGGTTTTGGTGATAGAATTAGGTTAGAAGAGTTAAAAAGCACTTTAAAAAATTAGTAAAAATAAGTGTTATTATAAAAATTTGCCATTCTTCAGGATAACTAGTTTCTTTTCTCTGCTCACATTTGGACCCATGTAAGTTATTAGGAAATTTGCATCTTAAGAACACATGGCTTGTAACCAAAGAAAGGACTATATATAGAAGTATTTCAGGTAATATTTCTAAGATATGAAATTGGTTTTGTTAGAATAATTGTTTATAGGGATGTTTACTATACTGTAATTTAAATAAACATTCCTGCACTTCTCTGGACTAGAGGTTGGCAAACTACTTTTTAGGAAAGCTTATACTGTATGAACCAAGAGGTAAAATTGAAGCTTTTATATACTTAAGCAATGAGAGAGAAAACAAATTTCCACAAATATTTTACTGATGAAATTTAATAATATATATTAATACTTGAATACTTTTTTTGTATTTCAGGTAATTAAATTATTTTGAGGTGATAGTATGCCACTTAGTTGGGGTTTGAAATTGATGACAAATATTCATCTTTTAATGCTGATCTATAATGTCATTTTTCATATTTCATCTTTGAAATTTTTTTGCCACACAGACAGGTATTACCAAACTGTCATCAATTTTTGCATGTGTGACTTTGAGCATAGTAATCATTTGAAATGAATTTATAGAATTCTGCTGCATTCTCTTGATATTTGCCATTTAGCATATCATTGTATTGTAGATTAATCACTTCCTATTGAAAGTTTGGTAGATTCTCTTTGATTGTACTGTTAAATGGGTTTTGCATTATGGAAATTTCCTGTGCAATTGCATTGAGTTCCAAAAATGTAGCTAGAAATGAGGTTGATATTGGAAAAGACATCCACAGCAAATTTGTGTGGGAATGTAGATCCATGTTCTTTTAACTTGATAGTATGGGAATTGTGCTAACCAGCTTGACATTACTCGTGATTTAAATAATATAAGTTTATCAAAATAACTTTTGCAGTGTAAGTCACATTAAAGTGCCATTTTTTTGTTGTAACATTAGGTTAGATTTATTAACACTATCAAGCCTGCAGCAAAAGTTTTAATTTCTAAAATTATTCAATGTTCGGTAATAGTAATTGAGGGTGACTAGTCTCAAACAAAAATTTCAGTCCTGTTCAGAGGTCAAAAAAATTACAATAAAACTTACTACTGCATTGAAAGTGGTAAATTTGGACAAATCATTATATTTAACTTCTATTTCTGACAAAATTTAATAGATCTAGTGATAGTTAATTAAGATTTACTAGTTCAAGAACATAATAGATTCAAATATTTTCCATATAATATTTGGTGATGCATAATACTATGAAAATCTACCAACTTTAGACATTCTACATTTTCATAGGCTTTGTAAATTTGTCTAACCTAGCTTTTCATACTCTACACATTTTTTTTACCACTATCAATTATAGCACATTTTAGGAGATTCCACTTCAGGTTGTACTGAATTAGTATTTTCTGGATTTCTTTGAAAATACTTTTCTTCTGAAGTTGTTCCATCTAGAGTATTCTTTAAAGCTAATTCTTGAGTCACTTCAATTTCAGCATTGACTTCTTAAGTTAGCAAAAACTGGGTAGTATTGGTGACATTTGTTAACTCATCAAAAGTCAAGGAAAACTATTTGATATCATTTGCTAATTTCATTGTTGTGACACCATGGGTTCCTAATGTATTCAAGAATATTCTTGCCAGGAAGCTAGTTATTTTGTCAGAAATAAGTTTATTTTCTGTGGACACACTTTCTGGCTGCTGCAATCAAGCATAATTAATATACTACTAGTAAACGGCTTTCTTTGCTTGGCTAACAAATGAGTTCCTCACAAATTTACTTGGATTGTATCTTCATTCTCGTGTGTGTGTATGTGTGTGTGTATGTGTGTGTGTGTGTGTGTGTGTGTTGGTTATGGTAGAGTGTGAATAAATTCTGTGATGAGATATGATATTTTGGTTTTCTTATTCAAACTGTTGGTTTCCTGTGAATTGGGAATACTGTAATGAGCACTTAATCTGGTAATTTTGAAATATATTCTTTTAGCACAGCTGAAGTATCATTGCATAATAAACATAATGCTTTGACATATAATTGTATAACAAAACAATCCACACTCCACTGTGCCTTAAAATTGCAACACTCAACAATCACTTTCCTTTACTTTTTTCTGACCTTATAAATATGCAGCAGTAATAAAAAGTAATAAGATGTATGTATGACAATATGTGTGGCACTTGAAATACTGTTGAATTATAGTCACTACTGAGATTTATAGTGTGTTGAAGAGCAGTGCAAAGCAATGAAAGTGCTACATATGGTCTCTGTCACAATTGTTCAACTCTGCTTTTGTACCATGAAAGCAGCCATAGACAATATGTAAACAAATGAGCATGGCTGTGTTCCAATAAAATTTTAATTATGGACACTGAAATTTGAATTTCATATAATTTTTATGTGTCATGAGATACTCTTGATATTTTTTTAATAATGTAAATATGTAAATACTATCCTTATCTCTTGGGCTGAGCAAATACAGGAGATGGGGCTGGATTGGCCTACAGACTGTAGTTTGCCAACCTCTGTTCTAGATCATTGTTGAAAAGATGTTTGAGATAAATTATTTTTTATATAATTAAATGAAATTACTTACCAAAAGATGAACTTTCTTCTCTATACAAAAGGAAGAAAGGTTTTAAAATTGTACCAAGAATTATAATTTTAAAGAAAAATGCACCATGAATGTATGGGAGTTAGAAATAAAGCAGAATGAGGTAAGTCTGACTCTTACATGAATTTAGATGTTGAAGCAGGGTGTAGACTTGGGAAGAACATGAATTTGGGGATTAAAAAAAAACGTAATCTGAATCCAACCTCTTCATAAAAACTAGCAAATTATTTGATTTCTTGGCCTAAGTTTTCTCACGTAAGTTAAGAGATAATGGCTACTTTGCAGAATGGCTTGGAGGATTAGAGACAATATTTTTAATAGCTCCTACTGTGAAGTACTTTTCTTAATTACCTTCACAATTTAAAACTGAACAACACCTTGATTTGTTATACAGTGCTATTGCCTTTTGAAACTTGGTATTTATTAACTTTATTTTAGATTGAAGCCATCATTTCTATTTAGTAGAAGTATTTGTGTCCTAATTCTAATTCTGTCAAATTATACATTGTCTATCTTTCCTCAATGACATTACTAAATTAAAAATGATTAATTTCATGTTTATTAATAAAAGTGAAAAATAGAAGGTGGCCAGAGCAAAGCACTTGGTCAAGCGAATGTAATCTTATGTCAAGGTCAATATCAATTTATTAAACCAATAACAATGTGTTCTCTTTATGATAGTCCTTCACTACTTGAATACCACTACCTATTTATCAGGTGCTCTGCTGAAATCCAGGTAAACTATTTATTTCCTTGACCTGCCATTCTTATTATCCCATTAAAAATTAGATTTTATTTTGACGTGACTTCTTTGTGAAACCATGTTTATTCCTATTTATTATTCCTAAAAATTATTACCATTTCTATTTCTAATGCTTATAAGTTGGCTTTTAACTAATTCTGTCTAATATTACATGAAATAAATGTTTACCAATCTGTAGCTCTATCATTCACTTTTTCTTTTAGAAAAAAATCAGAGTTTCATTTTCTGCTCTACTCTTTTTATCTTGTTTCCTTTAATACCTGCAGGGTTTCTAACTATGAAATTTATTCAGATCTGGAGACTTAATTGTTCTTTTTAAGTATCTGTACCTATGATGGCCTTTGTTTCCTTCTTCCCATAGTCCACCCCACTGCCACTTGAATATTATTTTTATTTTTTAAAAGACATTTTAAAAAGTCTGAGTCTTAATTTTCTTTGCTTGATACATAGTTTATAAAAATCTTTTGTTTGCTTTTTAAAATATCCCTACATAATTAGGAGGCATAAAATTTTTATAATTTCTCATATTCATCTGGTATTTAGACTAATTTCTTCAGGTGTTTTTAAAAGCAGAGCTTGTCAGATGAGACACCCTCTCCCTGACTTTTTTCCCCCAAGTTTCTCTTTCCTTTGGAATCATTTTTAATTGCAGAATGGAAGTCAGAGTTTTGAGTTCTCTTCCCTAGGTATTGTAGATCTTAAGATGCTTAAATTCAAGTGTTTGACCCTTTACTACAATTAGTCAATTCTACTTGTCTCTCTTTTTTTTTTTTTTTTTTGTGGTACAAAGTAGTAGCTTCAATTTTTATTTTATTTCCTGGCTAGATTTTTGACATTTTCAGATGCCCTGCTTTAGTAGAATAAGTTAAATGAGAGATGCCTGGACAATTGGAGTTTGCTATCACTACTGCATTTTATGTTAAGTATTTTCTACTCTTTTTTTTTGAACACCTTGTGCCAGACACTGGGTCATGTGCTTAAAAAACTGATTTCTTTTGTTTGACCTGATATTTTTGTAATACATTTTTCCTTTCTTGTTTGCCCAATGTTTTCCACAATGCCTCCTACTTGAAGGTACAGAATTTCTTCTCAAGAATATATTCTCCCAGTGCCCTTCTCTAATTCTCCTTTCTCACATGTGTTTTCTAGGCAGAAACTTCATTATGCCCAGTGTCAATGGCTCCTGTGTTATGCTTTCAGTGTTCTGTTTGTATCTCAGTCTTCTTGTTCATAGTTTTTGTTGGGGAAAAGTGTGAAGATTTCTTGATATTTCCAGACTTCTTGCTCAGTTCTCTTAAGTGAATCCCTTGGCCATCTCCAACCTAATAGTTTGTGTAACAAACATTTTTGTGGTTTTTCCTTTATATTTTCATCTCATCCTCATTCACTTGAAAAATCACTTTAACCTGTCCATTGTGATCTTACCATACGTTCATTCTAGTGAACTTCAATTGTGCCTTGAAAATTAAAATTTCATTTTTAAACACTTAAGAGTAGAAAATCATTTTATTCTGGTTTCTTTATTGACTTTATTAGGAGGCTTTAGATGTTCTAGGTTAAGCTTTTTTCAATAAATTACAGAAAATTGTCAATTACAACTATTTTGCCCTCCACAGGAATATGGAATTCTTGGTGGCAACCCCAGCATTGGTAGATGCAGGGGGTTGGGGAGGGAGGCACCACTTGGTCACTCTCTTCCTCTGCACAGTGGGCCAGGGTCGCTCTCTATTATTTTTATTCTTGATGGCTGCCATCCTGACTGAAGTGAGATGAAGTCTCAGTGTAGTTTTGGTTGAACATTTTTTTTTCATATATTTGTTGGCTATTTGCATTTCTTTTGAAAAGTGTCTGTTTAGTTCATTTGTCCATTTATTAATTTTTTTGGTGTGAAGTTTTTTGAGTTCTTTATATATTCTAGCTATTAATGCTCTGTTGAGAGAGTAGTGAGCAAAGATTTTTCTCTCATTGTGTAGGTTTTCCTGTTGGGTATTTTTTTTTTTTTTACACAAGGGAGCTTATTATATTTACTCACATAATCATGGGAGTAATAGTCACCAAATATTTGCCTACAGGATGGCAACACTGGGAAACTGGTAACAGCTCAGTCCAAGAAGCTGAAAGCTTCACAATATGAGGAAGCAAATGAAACAGCTGTGGTCCAGGATAGAGGACTTAAATGATCCTGCTTTTTATCAAGTTTTGCAAAAAATATTTTTTTCTTGTTCTGAAAATTCTTGGTTTGGATTAGAAGTAATACCAATAAAGAGTAGGTTTCTACAGATCTCGAACATCACATCTCCATATAAAGTCTGCTGAGAAGAGTCCAGGCATGTCCATTCCTCTTCTGAAAATTCAATGACCACATCCCTTAATGTCAATGGTTTCTTTTCACTAGCTCAGTTGTCCATGTGCACAAAGCAACTGGTGATGCTGAGAGTCCCCGAGCCCAGGGTTTGCAGCAGTTTTATACGCTCTTTGGGGAAAGCAAGACTTCACATACATCATAGCATCACTTAGCAAACCATCACGCACATATCCTGGCTTTCAGTATGCTTATTTTCTTTCCCCCATAGTTTCTTTCAGCTCCTGTGTAGTTCAGAAACCTGGGGCTCCTGATTGAGGACTGAAATCATAGAAATGCGCTGTTGGGTATTTTTAATTATTTGCTGTGCAGAAGCTTTTTGTTTTGATGCTATCCTATTTATTAATTCTTGGCATTATTTCTTGAGCTGTAGGGCTCCTACTGAAAAAAATCATTGTGTGTGCCTATATGCTGAAGTGTTGACCTTATATGTTCTAGGAATTGCATAGTTTCTAGTCTAATTCCTAGGTCTTTGATCCACTTTGAGTTGACTTTTGTGCAGTGAGAGATGAGAGTCTAGTCTTATTCTTCTACAAATTATAACCAGTCTTTCTACACCATTTGTTAAAAGGCTGTTTTTCCTCCAATGCATGTTGTTGGCACAATTGTCAAGAATCTGATGATTGTAGATGTGTGGGTTTGTCTCTGTTCTCTATTCTGAATCATTGGCCTATGCATCTGTTTTTATGCCTGTACCATGCAATATTTGTTACTATAGCTCTGTAGTATAATTTGAAGTCAGGTATTGTGATGCCTTCAGCCTTACATTTTTGGCTTAAAATTGCTTTGGCTATTCTGGATCTTTCATTCTTCCAAATGAATTTTAGAACTCTTTCTTGTAGTTCTGAGAAGAATTTTTATTATTTTTTTAATGGGGGTTACATTGACTCTCTATATTGCTTTTGGTAGTATGACCATTTTAACAAATTTATTCTGCCTTTCCATGAATATGGGAGATCTTTCCAACTTGTTGCATCTTTTTCAATTTCTTTATTCAATGTTCTATGATTTTCATTTTGTAAGTCTTTCACCTTCTTGATTTAATTTAATTTGGGATAAAAACAACTTGGTCATGATGTACAATCTACTTACTATGTTGTTGAATACAATTTGTTAATATTTTATTAAGGATTTTTGTATCCAAGTTCATCAAGTATATTGGTCTGTAGTTTCTTTCCTTGACATATGCTTATCTGGTTTTGGTACGAGGGTGACACTGGCTTCGTACAATGAATTTAGAAGTATTCATCCTTTCTGTTTCATGGAATAATTTGAAGAACATTGTAATTAGTTCTTTAAAGCCCTGATAGGTTCAGCTGAGAATCCATCTGGTCCTGGGCTTTTCTTTTTTGGAAGGATTTTTATGACTATTTCTATCTCATTGCTGGTTATTGGTTTGTGTAGGTTTTCTTGCCGCAGTCCGGCTGGCTGCAGCAAAATAATCAGGGGTGACGAATAACTTGTGTAGATTGATACAGCAGGAGTGGGAGCCGTTTATTGTGGGACAACAGAGGTATTTATACATTTTGCACAGCTTATCTTAATTAGCATAAACTAGATACAACAGTCAACCAATAAGGAACCTCCACACTTAATGGCTCACTTTTGTTACTTCTCAAACCACTCCCTCTGGCATTT